GTCTCTAGAGATAACTGCACCATCACCAGTCACCGTATCAATAAATAAGTAGTATGTGATATGACGAATGTCGTTCGTTCTGGCCATTTTCTTCCAATCCAGCCGTTCGCCGCTTCGAATAAGATTCCATTCAGGTTCCAGAAGGGCTATGAAGTCAGTAATGCGTGCATAGTCATAAACAAAATCTAAAAAAATTGTGTATACTGCGAATAAACTCATCCTGCAGGCAATCGATTTTATAAAAAGCTTCTGTTATCGCGTTTGCGCCTTTTCCCATCATCGCTTCGTACGTCTAGACCGTCGTTGCATGGATGCATTACAGATGCTGTGTGAGCAGCATGTATCGCAGAGCCTGGTTGGTTATGCCGCATCTTAGTATTTATGTGGTTTTCCGAAGTTTCTCCGCCTTGTATCGCGCTTTACCGTTGGTGCCGAGATCTTGTATCTTATGTGGCTTTATCGAAGTTATCCTCTGTTGTATCGCCGCTTTTGAGCGTAGCGAACGCAGAGGGCATTGAAAGGGCTTCAAGCGATCAGCTATTTCATGAGCCACATCTTATCATTCTATTTAGAATGTTTTAGCGTGTTCCAGTTGACTAACAGATGTCTGCGTTATTGAGAAGGGCTACATTGCGCTTTTTATTGAAATAGATTCAGGTGGACTGGTCATTTCGTGCCGATCAGAAAGTAATTTTATCACAGGGCGTTAGCGGTTTGTAGGAGGTTAGTGAAGCGCATTGCCTCCAATTTCAGGGCCACATCTCCTTCTTTTTTTAGAACTAAGAACAAACTGAAGGATGCGCAGAGCCTGCGCGCATCCATCAGATCAGTTTAAATATTAGGTTGTCTCATAAATAGTGTCGCTTTTTTTCAACCAAAAAATTTTCATCTAAATCCCCATGCTTTTACATCGAGTCATATACCATTCGAAAGAGAATTGTCTGCTCTACAAGAGTTGTGTTCTTCTTCCATCTATGTTCCATGGTTTTCAAATTTTAGGCCTGCGAAATGGGAGGTCCCGCCGACAAAAATTGACCAAACCGACAACTAGCTCTAACTTTATTTTCCCTGCGGAGAAATCAATCAATGATGTACCCTCTACTTACTCATGACCTCTTCTGAACATTCCACCCTTAGGTTGCCGAAAAGGTTTGCCCTGTTTCTTTTCGAATTGGCCGACCGATAAGCCATGGCAATTTTCAAATTGAAATTCTTCCTCTGAAACGCTATTGTTTTATATCAACTGGTGTATCTTTTGTGAGCACTTCTTCTGCTCTATTCGCTCATTTGTTTTGTTTTATGTTTGTTAGGAATTAGCTCGAATTTTAGGTGTTTAGGAGTAAGGTGCTTTATCCACGAAAGTGACCGCATTTCTTTGAAAAAAATTATCCTGAGAAGATGAGAAAATCAACCAGGCGTACATTCCTAACTTAGTCATGACTTGTTCTTTGAAATTCTACTAGTTTTTCAATGTCTCGGCTATAAAAAAATTTCGACCTCGATCTCAGGTAATGGTGCTTGACCGTCGAGTTCTGGTTGAAAAACCAGGTCTGGAAATGGAATGACGCGACTTGTTGGGAAACCTAATAGTGTAATGTTTAGAAGAGGTCATGCATAAGTAGAGGGTACATCATTGATTGATTTCTCCCAAGGGAAGATAGAGATAGTTGTCGGTTTGGTCAATTTTTGTCGGCGGGACCTCCCATTTCGCAGGCCTAAATTTGAAAACCATGGAACATAGATGGAAGTGGAACATAGCATTTTGTAGAGCAGACAATTCTCTTTCGAATGGTATATGACTCGATGTAAAAGCATGGGATTTAGATGAAAATTTTTTGGTTGAAAAAAAGCGACACTATTTATGAGACAACCTAATATAATACAGGATTGCTAAGAGATTTTTCCTTGAATTACTTGGTATTGCGGAAGTGATGTTGTGGCAATTTTCGCTACTGATCAACGCGCCACGGTCCTAGAGATAAAACACTGCGAGCGCAGTAAACCTGACTGCAGACGGCTGGTCCTGCAACCTGCAGTATAGGTCAAATTTCAAGATGCCATTACGATTTTGAGTAGAAGTAGGATACGTGACGCATCCCGGAAAAGATACTGATCAACGCCAAATGCTTCAGTTTGAATTTGTAAAACGATAAGGTTAACTGCATTCTAAACCAGGGTCAACCATCTGGATGTTGGACAAAGTCCATCGAGGGGGGTAGTATTCGGCCGACGAAACGGGGGTCGTATTCGCAAGGTCGGAGGTCAATCTTACACCAACGGGAAGTCGTGAGTTTGCCGTTCACCGTTAGACGTACTACCCCCTACACCCCTTACTCCCCCCTCTTACGGCTATTTGGAGGAAATATGAAACTTGGCTGTGTCACTGTTCTGTGATCAAATACTATTGTAACAACTTTGATGGTAAGGGTGGTGGTCATTATTGGTGGACCTCCTGAGTCTCATGGTGGTGAAGGGAGTCGTGAAAAATTTCCAAAAAGTACCAGCGGTAGGGTTGGCCCTGGGGGGTCGTACGAGTGCGTGATAAGTGAAAAAACTGCTACAATACCGCCTCAGCCGTACCCAGTAATACACGGAAAAATCTCTTAGCACCCTTATCTATAATGGATCGCAGCTGAAGGATACAGGGAGCACTGTGCAATTCTTCAGGCCAGCTAAAAAAAGAGATGTACACTGAACTTGGACGGCAATGCGCTTCACTAACCCTTCAAAAACGGGTAACCCCTGATCATTACTTTCTGATTCGGCCACGACATGATTAGTCACTGAAGTTTCTATTTCAATAAAAAGCGCAATGTAGCCCTTC